CTTGCGCTTCTGACTTGCTGCCACAAGCCCGGTTCTGACATGCTCATTGCGGATCCCAGCACCGACCTAGATCGGCGCAAAACAATAAGAATCAATATAGAGAAGAACTGTGATTTAGCCACGTACCTTGGACAGTTTCTCCAGCTTATGAAGCGCCATACGATTGCGACGGTCTGTCTTCTTCACTTTTGCGTCGGAAAATGTTCGCTCCATGCCAGCCTGATTGACGACAAGATCCAACAGCATGATTGCGAACTCCGCCAGCTCACATACACTCTCATCGTCGAGAAACTGCTCCCAGACTAAGATAGGATCCTTTCCCTAGAATAGATTCAATAGAATAAGTAGTAGTGCATGTAAACAAACGCCGAACACGTACATTGGTTTCGGAAAACGTTGCCTCGTGCTCTTTCCAATCCCTAAACAAGCCGCGACCAGCAAGATATGCCATAAAGGCAATAGACACTGCCTTCTCCTTCGTGGCACGTAGCTCAGCCAACTCGTCAGCAGGTATTGATGGATCTGGACAAGAGTTAACACGCTTATAAAGCTGTAAATGTCGTTAATGTTTGCATAGTAACGATGAATAGGAAACAGACCTCCAAGAATGCCGAGTTCAATGCAAAGGCATTGATGCCCGCGTTCTTCCCAAAACGCGAGACGCCCTCATACGGGTTGAGGATCAGAGCGAAGATGAAGATGGGCTGGTCTAGTGCCTTCCAGCGCTTCTCGATACGCTTTGTCATGCCTTGAGCAACGGAGTGTACGGCATGAGCATCAAAATAACGAAAGATACCCGCGAACGTGAGCAAAACCTCGTCAAGACGAGTGTGATCCGTCTGGTTTATGTTGGTTCCGTAGCAGATGGGCTCGATGTCGCGAAGGACATCCTCAAGTCCTTTCCAGAAGTCCGCATTGTTGATGAGATTGATATGTTCTTCGGTGGCAGTCTTGAGTCTATCGTGCTCCTTGCGTCCTTTCTCGGCTCCGACTTGTGCAGCAATGATCTCGTCTTGTTGAAGGATAGCAGCTTGACAAAGTGATGGCTTTAACGTCATGAGACGGTTGAACGCAAGGAAATGAGTAGTCCAGCGAGTTAGATTAGCAACAATAACGGCAAGAACGGTGTTCGTCTTGCTTAACTGAACATCATCAAAGATGGCGCAAACCTTCTGATGGTTCAAGAGCCATCCAATCAGGCCAGTTGCCTGCTCTGCATACTCGGTGGCGATTAAATTCTCTTTGAAGTAGTCGCCGAGAGTCAATTGGAACTACCAAATGGGTGTAAGTCGTAATCCGATTAATACATTCCCGGTGAACACTTACCTGATGAGCACAGCAGGGAGCTACTAGAAGCCACGGGCGCTTACGTGGCATCAGATCCCTTCCTTTATGACTCCCACCATTGTTGTCGCAGCAAAACAGCACAACGATGCAGCCCGTTACTGCCTCTGTCTCATCAATGACGGCCAGGAAGAACTCGCAGTATGACTTGCCATCTTTCTTCTGCTTATTCGTCTTGACCAATTTTACCAGATACGACTGTTGATTTACTGTCAGTAGCAACCGAGAAAAGGATGCAACACGTACCTTTCCGCGACGAGCAATATGAACCCCCGTTACACTGTTATGTGAGTTGTCCTTCCATCCATCCATGCTGGGGATGTTGAATCAGCAAGAGACATAGATCATCCAAACATGTACATACAATATAGAGACATGCTTTCGGTGAACAGATTCATGAATAACTTGGTCAATATTGTTTGCTGCCGTATTGAGCAGCTTTCCAGATAGCAAGCGACGCTCAGGAATTACCTCGTCGGCCGTAGCTTGCATCATGAGGAAGAGTGAAATGACTTCGGGATCGTCAGTCCAGCGGAAGGGGAGATTTGCGGATATGGTGGCGCGCATGAACTGGGCCTGGACTGCTGCTTTTTCCGAGGCCGAGAAAGGTATGTTAATTCCTTTAAACACCTTCAAATGTGTTTGCTTAAGCATCTGCTTCGTCGCTTCAAGCCGCTGGCGCTTAGGCGGTTGCGACGGCCCAGCATCTGCCTCGTCATCTCCCTCAGAGCCATCATTGTCTTTACCGCCATTCCGGCCCTTCTTGAGCTTTTCGAGACGCTCCTTTTCGCAAACAGCAACCTTGCAAACGGCAGCAGCCACATTGGGGCAGCTGACAAGGTGGTGCAACATTGCACTGGCATCCCCGCGGACACTTCCTTTATTGCTACTAGCCTTGAGCGCTACGAGACTGTGAGCCCGTCGTGTACCGCCACAATTTATTTAGGATTACACACCAGCATTGAACCACGGCTGTGCCGCCATAAGAGATGCATCCATATCGACATCAATCGGTACGTTATTGGGTCGACGTGCATTGATGCATGCCAGACAGTGTGTGCGGTACTGGCTTTGGTTCTGTCGTGCGCCACGGAAGAAGTATGGCCAGAGAACACCTTTCACACCCATGACTGTCAGGCAATGGTGACGGACGTCTGCGAGTGCGGGTAGAGCAATTTTCGAGCACAGCTATTAGGGGTACAGAATGTCATATATGTTATCTAAGACATTAGAGATCTCTTAGAGAGCTCAAGTGTGCGAGCGATGAGTTAAAGCCCTCTTCTTAGAGGTTGTAGAGACCTTAAACCTTTTAGAGGTTTAGCCTCTATGACAACACTGCCAACTGCACGTTTCGAGATCGTCGTACTGTACTAACGCGACCAGATCTTCACGGCATGTTACGTGTTATGATTGTGAACTAAATTACCAGTAGTTCATCCAGGGTCCATAGATCATATTGGGAGCCGCGGGAGGCGGCGGCGCGAGCCGCCGCAGCAAAAATTTCCGCATTTGGGCTGATCCCGACAAAATTTACCGTTGTTACGTGTTATGGAAGCCGAATTAGTTCACTTCACGGGGCCCTGTGACGCGTTATGTGAATTAACGGTCGCGTTAGTACAGTATCTGCCATGGCACACATTCTCCAAAGCACTGTGTTGTGGATCACAGCGCTGGTGACTATCCTTCTGCTTGCAGCCATCTCCCCCTCTACATCCTCTGACTTGTACCAAGATGGACAAGTCCACGCTCCAGTGGCAGTCAGCGTAGTGCAATCCTGTAGTGCTGCACTATGAGGCCGAGGCGGTGCATTATCCTATGGACGGCCCTGAACCAGATGCGGTGTTTGCTTGTAAAAAGCTCACTGACAGTCGACACCTTGCCCACAATTACGATGAGAGCGGCCCTTGCTATCGATTCAAACTCGCCAAGAACAATAAAAAACAGGATTTCGAAGAAAGAATGACCAATGCCACTTCGCTATTGCTACGGTAGCAATGGGATCAACTCAAAGTTCAAATGCGAGGGCGTCCCGCCGCCTCGGATGAGACGCAGATCGGAGGGAATGGAGAAGAGAGACACCCCCCGGTGGACCCTCTCGAGCAGGTACTTTCTGGTATACTGAATTCTGATCTTGGGGTAAAAAACGAAAGAATGGCACAACACACCAAACGGGAGTTGAATCCCTTCGAGACGTGATAACCGGTTGGCATCATTGGTGTGCAAAATCATACAAACAAGGGTGTACGGATTCCTGGAGAATGATCGCCTTTAATCTTGGATAGATTACAGAAGGCCAATATGAGGTGAGCCCCCCCCCCCTTTTTTACTCACACAACGACATCTCTACCTAGTCCACTAGGTCGCAAAGAGGTGTCAGCGGTTTGTTACCCGTCGGGTCTCAAAACAAACCGAGTGAGTTTCTCCTGCCTTCGGCACTTTCTCATTGTACTGTTGTACAGCGCGCCTTCGGCCCCTTTTTCTTTCACCCCCGCCGCGTACTCACAGCCGCTTGTCGTTAGCTTGTCTCTTATATGCATTGTGATCGCGTCGATATACACGGCTTGTTATCCCACGCCTAGCGACGACGCATAGATGCACGAGTCATGTCTATCATACTCCAGCTCTTACCGCGTCGCCGCCAGGTGTGTTCTTGTATCTTCACTCTTTGCACAGAGTTCTTACCGCTTCGCGCTTGTAGTTTGATCTGTTGCCCTCCCTTACTTCATGTACATCATGTAGCCCTGCCCAGAGTTCCAATACACGCTCACGGCCTTTCCTTGGGGAGGTCGGCTCCTGGTTATCGTGTCCTTAACTCAGATTGGGCTTCAAAAAAAATTCTTCCCGGCTCGGACATCAAGGACGGCACCAAGATAACCACTGTACCACGAATGCGCCGGAAGAAAACGAATTTAAGTACTCTCAGTTAAGGGAAGGAGTTAGTGTACACGCATTGACAGAGAGACTTACCACTATGAGCACACGCACATCTGATCGAACCGCGCAAAACAACCGCTGCGCCATCGGTTCGGTAACAAGGTGAGTTGTCAGAGGAGTTTGACGGCAAGTTTTTTTGGGAACAGGCAAGTGCTCCTACGCGCAGAGAAGACTAAGTCGGGATTCCTGGAGCAGGGCAGTATGACTAGGGTGTAGGGATTCCTGGTGAAGGAACCGTAAAAATTATCCCTGGCTCTTATGTTTCTGACGGCACCACAATAACTACTGCACCATGAGTGCGCCGGAAGGAGACGAAATTACTTCTACTCAAGGGATGAAGTCAGTGTACACGCGTTGACGGAGAGACCCTTGCCACTTTGAGCCATGAGCACTTCAATCAAAAACAATTTTGGAAAGACGTCTAATCAAACCGCGCAAAACAACCGCTGCCGGCTCGGTAACACAGTGGGTTGTCAGGGGAGTTTGACAGACAAGTTTACGGAAAAAGGCAAGTGCTCCTTTGTTCAGAGAATACTACTTGGTGGCAAAAGGGATGTGAATGAACGGTGATATATGGAACTTGGAAGAGGACTCAAAGTTGAGCCTCTGCCGCTTGTATTAAAAACAAGCTTCTCTGCAGGTTGTGTTCAGAACGCGCGACTTCAGTCTCGCAAAACATGGTACATGATGGTAAGCAAAATAGGGGCGAAATGCAGTTATATTACACTGAAGAGGAGTCGAACCTCAGCGGCTTGTCTAAATTGTGCACTGTTCATGGAAGACAACTTGCAAGTATGATACCGCTTCACCATCAGCGTTGAATGACGTGGTGTTCAGAACACTGAAGTTCAGCGCTTATGAGGCAAGTTTACAGCGGGACCGAGCGGAACATTGCATACCGGTGTAGATGAAGCGGATTGGAAGTCAGCGCTTGGTCAAGAACACCGAGCTTGATTCCGTGGGACACGACGTCAAAGCTTGCACGCTGAGAGTGGCAAGTCCACAGCGGGGAGAGCAACATATAGTGCGTAGATGGAGGGCCAACTTGAATCCACGCCACTTTGTGTGATTCAAAAAGAAACTCTGTCTCTGTATGCATTGGACTGCTCGGTGACACGGTGGCATTCGATGGATAAGGTTCACACAAAAAAGCCACCATAACAAGCGCGTATAGACTCCACCAAAGCCACTTTACTAGTGGTGCAGCGACGGCTCGGAGAATCAATCACGAAATGAAAAAAAGAGTGAATCCAAAAACAGAGATCCTCAACATGCACACCGAACATCAGCCGCTATACCATTGGTGTGGTGACGGGATGTATTGGCGCGCAGTGGTCCTGGCTAGGAAAGAAACTCTGTCTCTGTATGCATTGGACTGCTCGGTGACACGGTGAAATTCGATGGACAAGGACATCGAGAAAAATCAACCATACCCAGCGAAAATACTGCACCGAAGCCACTTTGCTAGCGGTGCAGCGACGGGATGGAGCCGACAGGAGAATCGATCATGAAAAAAAGATTGAACCCAAAAACACAGATGCACACCGAACACGCTGTATAGGTCGAATTTTCATGCACGGCTATGTACATCAGTCGACACAGCAAACGGATAGGAACCTACACTCTGTGGTCAAAAACGATTCCCTATATGAGGCGGAGACCCACCGAACAGCTGCTTGTGGTGAACAGATGGATCTATTCCTTTTGTCGTTACATGGACCGCGGCGGCGATGAAGAAGGTAAGCACATCAAAATCAAGCCATAGTGTGAGATACATGGAGGGGCCCTTGCCACTTTTGCGATTCCAAAAAATATCAGTGGTAGCGAGACATCAAACCGGAGCGGGATAGCCGCTGCACCATCGGTTCGGTAACAAGGTGGGCTGGTAGAGAATTGTAAAGGTGTGTTCGACCTGGAGACGTACGTTTCAAAAAAAGGCTATAACACACACAAACAAGACTACACCAAAGCCACTTTTTTACTGGTGTACCAGCCAGAGGGAGCTATGCCAAAACGAGAACCGGTAGTATGTACCGTGTATACATACGATATAAAAGACAGTACGACCGACGAGATGCTCGCTACAGGTGAAAGGATGTATATAGATACGTTCCGTGAAGATGGTTCACGGATGAGCCTTGGTGTCGGTCTGGCGCCGATGACTAAGCAGATCAAGGGACGTAACCTAGGGTTTGCACCCCGAGTCGTGCCTCTGACCACGACCACCACACCAGGACTCGATTTGCTTGGACGAAAGGATCAGAAGCGATGGACGAGGAATCTATGTGATTCTTGCCCACACGATAACGACTTGTTTTCCATCTCACTCTGCTTTTCTTTCTTTCTGGTTTTTTTCTTCTTCTACTTTGATTCCGACTGGTGCGTGTCTTTTTTTCTCCGTTTGAGCGTGCATATTGACGATGCGCGGGGTTAGACGAGGCAATGCTGCGAAGAGAGGAGGATATTATGTATGAGCATGAAGACGATCTATATCGATTTCCGTGTACCACCACACCCACACCCACACCTACCCCAGCAACAGTCTTCCCGTGCGGCGGCGGCGGGCTGCTGACGCCCCCACCGTCAGGTTCGATCCTAAAGCGCAGTGTGCCGCTCCCGGACGAATTCCCCGAACATGCATATGGCGGCCTGCTCGACTCGCCCCTCGTGCGCGTGCGCTCCCACCACCACCACCAACATTCCCCACCGCCGACCCCGCCAGACGACCACGACGTCATCGAGCACACGCCACCGCTGTCGCTCCTAGACGTCGGCCCGACGCAAGCGGACCTGCTCTCGCCGCTGTCGCCAGAATGGATGGACACTTCGATGCCGCCATCGGACGATGAGCCGGGCGGGAGCTTTCTCCTCGGCGCAGATATCGGCGTGCAGAGCCCGACGCTCAGCACACTTGCGCTCCCTGATGATCACGACGATTACTATTACCAGCCTGCAGACGTCCCCGACATTGGCGGGCCGCTGCTTCTCATCGATGTCGATGTCCCCCAGGCGAGGTCGCCTTCCCCCGAGGCGTTCGATTCCGCTCCGTTCGAGTATCCGGGAGGAGAGTGTCCCCCCGATATGCTCGACGATCTGCGACATCTTCTCGAGCTGCGTCATGCAGACGAGCGATTGGTGCGCACACTCGAGCGGGGCGGCGCGAGGAAGCGCGCAAAGGAGAGGGCGAGGGAGGTGGAGGCGCTCGTGAGGCTCAAGGTGGGGGGCGAGGCGCCGCCACACAGGGTGAAGAAGGGCAAGACGATTGTGGGGAGTATGAAGCAGCTTGTGGCGAGGATGGTGTTTAGGCGGAGGGAGGGGGATGGTACGGTGGGGAGAGAGGGGGGCGTTGTTGGGAGGAGGGAGTGTGTGGGATGTCCGTCCAAGTTACGGGAGGTGCTGGACATAGAGGAGGAGGAGCAGGAGGAGCAGGAGCAGGAGCAGGAGGAGCAGGAGCAGGAGCAGGAGGAGCAGGAGGATGACGACGACGACGAGCTCGGGCTCGGGTTGAAGATGGGGGATATATGGACTACGACTTGATGTCGCTTGTTCTGTTGCTGCGAGATACCTCTTTGCTCCCCTTGGATTGTACCACTACCTTTTTTCTTTTCCTACTTACATGCGTTTCTTCTGCTTTGTATTTTTTATATCTAGGAAGGAGGAGTAATATATATACTGATCGTGTTTGTTTTGTGGTCTGGTGGGGAGATGTGTACTGCTACTCCTGCAGACGGATGGCTGAGTCTGCATTGCAGTGAATTTCTTATTGTATTGATGAGTGTCGCGTGTGCAAGAATATCTCTGATAGAATATCGGTTAGTACACGCGCCTGTCATTATGTTGTGGACGATGTCTACGCGCGAAAGCTGGGTTCGACTCCCAGTCAGAGAGTTGTCAGGGATCTCACTTTTTGTGCTATCCTGACTCCTTACAAGTCATTGCTTGCTGCAAGTAGATTGCAACTGCCCATATAACGGTGAATTCGACGCAGGTAAGTGGGATAGGGTGGCGCAGTAAACCTCCCGGGGGTGTTAGTAACGGTATCGATACCGACACCCCAGGGGGCTCAGGTTTTGAAACCATTAGTAACGGTTTTGATACAGGCATGTGTTGTGGCGCCCACCCTGCCGCCTTCATCCCGCCTTACTCCTGCCACCTCTAAGCGCCAGCGCGCCGGCACGTGTGCTGGTACTGAAACCTACCTCCCGGCCTCCAAGGGTGTAAATACTGTATCAATACTGTTATTTACTGTGCATATCAAAACCTAGGGTTTACTTCACCACCCTAGTCAGTCAATCCATACTGTTTCTGTGATTTGTGAATACACTAATAATGGATTTTCAGAAGTGGCCAAGACATACTTTGTGCACCGCCATTGTTTAAGTAGATGCCTAGGCCTTTATAAACATCTCTGATAGTATATTAATCAGTACACACGCCTTCATGCAATTATTGCATCTGAATCCGCGCAGAAACTGGGTTCAACTCCCAGTCAGAGAGTGACAATGCAAGTGTTTTGCACTTCTGATCTTCCAAGTTATTCCTTTCTATATTGTGACTGCCCGTATAATTATGAATTTTGGCGCAGGCTAGCAGTTCTTAACTGTGGCCCGTGGGATGCTATCTGAAGCTTGCGTGATTCCCTTTGCTATTCAATATTGGATTTGATGATTCAGAACGCTCTGCGCCACACACCGATGCTGTGAAGTGATTATTATGCTTGCCTTCCATGTTGACTCTGAACTTAATAGCGAGTGGCATGCCTAAATTCTAAATTTTGTTGGGTTTGCTGTCACTGCATTTGTGCAGATGACTTTTTATAATTAGACGCAAACCAACCTAGTACCCTGGCCAGTTTTGGTCTATGAATCAACAATCACTGTGCTGGGTGCCTGCTTCTATGATACATAGAAGGAAAATAAGAATAAGGAAACCTAAAGTAGCAAAAATAGTGGGCCTCCGTCATTCAAAACAAAGGGAATGTGGTTGCACTCTCTGACTGGGAATTGAACCCAGCTGTTGCGCAATATGTAGCACCCGCACGATTTATGACAGGTGCATGTACTAACCAATCTACTATCAGAAACAGTGTCATTAATTACTTGTGGCTTAGCTTGTACTGCTAAGAAGCCGGGTCCTGTAACAGCAAAATCTGTGTGTACACTTTTAGTTTGTGGTGTCTTAGATCCAATTGACATTGTCTCTCTCTTGGCATGTTTTCTCAATCTGGTTCTCATCCACTGTATGTGATTCCTTGTATCACATAAAAAGTGAAGAGACATGCTCCTGTGGTACTCTTTGGTGGTATATTGATCATTAAGCGCACTTGGTGAGGTGTTGATGATAACACATTTGGCGCAAAAGCTGGGTTCAACTCCCAGCCAGAGAGTTCTCAAATTGCAAGGTAGCTTTTTGGTCACTTTCCACTCATTAGATTACCTTGCTTTGAGTCATGGATATGACTATTCCTACTGAAGAATAATGCCTGAAAACATAACCTCAAGTCTGTGCATGGCTGTATTACGCTACACTGAGTTCTTCCTCTTCCATTTGGGACAGTCATCCTCCTACATCCAACTCCACACATTCTCCCTTACTAGATATACCGTATTCAATGTCCACACCCATTTTTGAGCAAGTCTTCAGGGCAACACTGGGCTTTTGGAGAGCTCTCAGGGAGAGTGAGGCCTCACCTTATGGCGTGTTTCTAAATCTCAAGCTGCAGGGATACTCAAATTCACTGGGGATGATCATCCGAGTTGGGCGAGGTCTCTTAGCATGTTCTCTCCTTCTGGCTCCCCCATTTTTGTGATGTGTATCTGTAATTTCAACAATTGGTAATGTTAAACAGCGGATACTCTTTGGTACTATATTGGTCATTATGTATGTCCATTATATTATTGGGGAAATACTGAATTTGACACAAAAGCTGGGTTTAACTTCCAGTTAAAGAGTGACTGGAAATCTTTTCTGTTTTGCTGAATTCAAAGTTGTTTGGTCTGATTGCAATGGTCATGTCCTCCACTCTCTCTGAACATGTTCTCTTATTCTAGTATTCTGTTTACATGTTTGACCACCCCAGTAGTTTTTTGCACTGTATATCAGCATTTGCATAAGATGGGACAGCACTTCAATATTGGGAACAAGCACACAAACCATGAGACTCTTTGATAGTGCATTGCTCCCAGTGAATACTCTTTGGTATAGAGTCTGCCACAGATTGGGTAAAATAGCGGATATTCACAACCAATCCCCTACTCAATCCGTGGATCAGATTAGAAAAAAGTGATCTAATCCGTATGATCCGGATTGGGGCACAGATTACGGGTTCAGCCTTGGAGGTACGGATTATCACCACAATCTGTACCCTCAGACGGTTCATTCAGAGGTATTTAGAGGCCAACGACAACCTTAAGGATTTAAGATTGTTAAGAGATCTCAATTCAATCGCTTGGGATCAATCAGTTGATTCTGAGTGATCGAGTTGGATTATCTCTCTCTCTTCTCTCTACTATTACATCCTTCTCTTCCTCTGTCCCTTGTCTCTGTGCTTTGTGCCTCTCCAGCTCTGCGCTGGCGCCCAGTACGCCACCCAGCACTGTTGCTTAGTTGAATCAACTTCAAGTTGTTTGTCTGATTACAAAAACAACTTATATTGTTTTTGTATCTTGTCCTGTCTTTAAGACAGGGCAGCTCTCTCAACAATGTTGTGCTGCTATACAACAGCAGCAACAACACAGAACACCGTCTGGATGCGCTGAAACAACACAACAGGCCGTTGCTATGGCACACATCCTAGTAACGGCCATTGATGGATGTGTAAGCCCTCGGATGGGCAGCAGACGTTGGACAACAATAACAATGGCCTTCAAGAGGCAATGCAACAATGAGAGAACACTACAATGTGCCGCAGAGCAGGCATAGAAAGTGGAACAGGCAGAAGTACAGGCGTGGCACCTCTGCAGACAATGTTGCGCGCACAGGTGCATATTTCTTTCTTATTTCTGTTGACAATGTCCTTTAATGACACTGTCAATGTATTTCATATAGTCTAACCACATTCCAGGTACCTCATCCTTTTCTTCCACTCCGCTCACATTATGGATCCCTGTTGCCTCGTATTCCTACTGCCACTTCTCATCCTATTGCTTATGACCTACCTTTATCCCTTTCCCTTCCATATATATCCTTTTGTTTGTGGTATGCACATCACTCTTTGAGTGTTGCGCGCCGCGTCAAAAAAATTCATTTACCCACCATTATTCATAAGTCAGATCCATTACTTAATCTGTGGATTGGATCACCTACAGATTGGATCCTGTAGGCAATTCGTATTGTGGTACGGGTCACGGTCTGGTGCTTGAGGCCACAGATATCTGTGAAACGGATTGTGGATTGATCCGGTTCACGATCTGTGGCAGTCTCTAGTGCTGAACACATTGTGCAAGGGGATAATGAGCTGCTAAGATGACAACAGCCCCAGAAGGTGCAGAATGCAACTACTGCAACTGCCGCATCAAAGGTATTGGTTGGGGAGAGATTGTCACAAAGGGCAATTAAATGGTCAATAGTAACTGGGTGGCGTTTAGGATGAGGGGTTTAAGCAATTTCTTGGCTAGCCAATGTTTTGAAGAGTGAGAGAAATTTGTCTCCGCCGTGCCACTCCGCCTTGTTGAGTGAGTGCCAGGCATGGACATCGGTGAGCCAGTCCCCAATAAGTTTGCCAGGCATCTGGCGTTCTGAGTGTCCCTAAGCAGCGAAGGCCTAGCCAAAGTAAGAAGGGAAATCAATTAAGAAACAAGAATAAAGTATCTCACCAAGAGAAGAAGGGAGGACACTGGTAGACAAGCAGATTCAGGAATCTCTTGATCATTGCAAAATTGGTAAAAACAAAGCAGGCCAGCTCCATAGCTGATGCAGATTAATTCTTTAAGAGCGTTAGAAGCAAGTTTAAGCATTGCAGAAGTATCTTTAGCATACAGAAAATAGAGAGCAAAGTCAAAGAATTCAGAATAAGGGGAAGTTCAGCAAAAAAATTGATCTCCAGCTGAAACTGGGTAGAGACCTCAACAAGTAATACTCGGATCAGACCCGCAATCCGAGAGCCGAGTACTCGAGGCCGAAAGGGCATACTCGTGATCCGGAACTTACTTGATCCGTGCTGACTTGTGGGTCAAACGAGTCGAGTACTCGAAGACGATCCGGATCAGTAACAAGTCGCAAATACTTGCGGATCAAGCTACATAATATTGTAATAAAACTGTACATAAACGACCACTTTGTAATAACTACTCATCAGATTTACCTTTCCGTGCGGCTTTTTCGTTGAAAATCTGAATTACTTGCTCAATAGGCACAAGGCCTGACTTGAAGCAATCCTTCAACACAACACAGGCACAAACAGACTCATCCAAAAGGTTGAAACAATGTTTGGTGACCGTTAAGCCGCCCACCGAAAACATCCGTTCAACATCCGTCGATGTAGCTAGACTGATCATCAATACTACAATTAGGTACGAGTAAGTGCAAGTACTCGTAACAAGTACTTACCGCTCAGATGCCCTACTTGTGATCTGTTTATGACCCAACTCGCTATTGATCGGCGGATCACACAAGTCAAGTAGCCAAGATCCCCGGCCGGATCAAGTACTTGAGTTTCCGCGTGACCCGAAAACTTGTTGAGGTCTCTAAAACTGGGGGACAATAGAAGGAAGGAGTGATTTTGCAGCCTACTTTGAGCTTGCAAGCCTTCTTTTGACTAAAAGGTAGGCACAGAGGAGCTGAAGGCATTGATGAGCCTTGCTCCCTACCTCCAGATGCGGATGTTTTACGCGCCGCCAATGGTCTGTAAAATCTAGAAGGGGATGTAAGGGAAAAAGGCAAATATAAAACAGACAAGTGTGAGAGCCCACCTAAACATAATAGGCAATGTAGGGTATAAGCTGCTCCGGGAGCGCAAAGGAGGGTGCCAAGTGTAGGTCTAACAGACCAACATCTCCGTGCAAGATGGGATCTGGAGAGAGTTGTAAATTGCGAGCATGAAGGAGCGCCTCGCTGCACTGGATAGAGTTGTTGATAGAAATATTTGGGCTGCAACCTTTTTTGAATGCGCCAATCACTCCTTGATTGTCCAAGTTTACCAGTACTGAAGTGTTCTTAATGGCCAAGCCTTCCAGAACGTACAACACCAGCTCAACTGCCAGGGTCTTGAGCCATCCTATATGCTGGTCTCAAGGTCTGGAAAAGGAAATAAGGACCCATGTATTCCAGCGTCTGTTAATAACAATGTCTATACCCCACTCCGTAGACACATCCATAAAAATGACCAAGTCAGCGCGCAGCGGAGCCAGAGTCAGGAAATGGAAAATATTAGGCTTGGCGAGTTTAGCCTTCCACCATCTCAGATTATTAATAAGCGCCATAGAAGTGAAGCGTCTAGTGTTAGGCTTGCCCATGTCAAAGGATAATGAGAATTTAAAGAGGCAAGGTAGTCAGGAATGGCCTAGAGGGTATACAAAGCAAATATGGACCAAGGTGCCCTGTAGAGTGAGTACCACCTCTAGAGGAGCGCGCGCATACATAAAAAGATTGATAAAAGCTGCCACCCGGTGCAAGTATTTGAGTTGCTTCTCCTTAGGAAGACAAACCATAGACACTTGTAGGTCCCAAAGAAAGCCGATGTAGATAAAGATGAACGCAAAGTCTGTTCACTTGTCCTTGTACCAGGGAATGTGAAGGGTTGCAGATGGTGTTGGTGGGACCACCTACGCGGGGACACATACCTTTGTTGGCAAGGATTGCGAAGGTAGGTTTGCCATCCTTGAAGGCACTGAAAGTGCACACGTGGAGGTGGTGTCCCTTCTGTGCACAGATGAGGCATGTTGTTTCCCTGCCGTTTGAGTTTTCCCTTCAAAAGGATCCCTGTCCCAAATAAAACCAAGAGCCCAAGGAGGAGGAGGACTCTTGGCGGCGGCGCTCAGCGGCATCTCTCGCCTTCCTCTGGGCTTTGTCGCAAGCTGCCTCCTTCTTAGCCTTAGTCTTGTCCTTCTCGGCAATCTTGTCCTTGGATTTGCGGACGTCCTCAAG